AGAGCCTCATAGCCATCCGATACCAAATAAGCAGCGTAAATGATGCTTTAATTACTATATCGTCGCCTTAGAGGGCAGAGGTTCTATCTCCATGTTGTGCTCAAATTCAACTACAACTTTGGGGACATCTATTATAAGTGCTAGAATCAGATTAGGCAGCGGGTCTATCTCCACATAGTAGGAGAAGTCTTCTCCTACTATTTGACGATATATGAAACTGAAACCAAAACTCCCGATATTGCACACGAAGCGCAAACATTAGCAGAGCAGAACTTTAATTGCATGGTACAATGTACTATTCCAAATAAACGTTGTTAGTAAAGCAATGCAAGCCAAAGACATGGATCTTGTACAGTGTTGAAAAAATGCATCACATTTTCGGAAAATTACAGGACGTTTGGCTTTAAACAAGCAACGGTTGATGCCAAAGAGTTAGCTGAAGAGTTAAACATCGATGCAATATTTAAGCCGCTTAAAAGAGTACGACGAGTGAAACGTCATTATGATGAAAATGCTGCTGACGAACCAATTCAAAATCCCGAGAAAAAACTAGAAGTGACATTTTTAAACCCTTTATTAGATACATGTCTGTCGTCAATAAATGAAAGATTTGAACAACTTAATGAGTTTTTTATTTAATTTGGATAATTTGCCCATCAAGAATAAACTTTTTAAATTGTGTAAACAATTACAAGAAAAATTAACTGTAAATGCAAAATCAGAAATTGGTGGTGCTTTGCTATGCGACTAACTAATAAGTGTGCAGTTTTTTATTAAAGATAAATTAAGCAATGTTGAAAATTAAATAAATACAAAAGAAATGACACCACTTTTTGTACTGAATTTTATTAAAAAACATTGTCTATAAGTTATATTTAAATACATGGATTGTTCTGCGCATTCTTCTTACAATACCTGTTACTGTTGCTAGTGGAGAACGTAGTTTTTCTAAACTGAAGTTAATCAAAACATATTTAAGAAATACCATGTTGCAAGATCGACTTAATTCTCTATCTATGTTATCAATCGAGCAAGATATAGCTGAAAATTTAGATTTTTCTAGTTTGATAAGAGATTTCGCGGACAAAAAAGCTAGAAAAGTTAGATTTTAAAATTTAATAACTCTTGTTTATATAGTTAGAGGATTTATTATATGTTTAATAAAAACATTTGTTATTTTAAAAGCAGCGTTGCGTTGTCTATTTATTTAGTCACTCATTTCTATAAACCCATATCATGAAAAGTCTAAGTTTATAATTTTAATAAAAAATTAATTAAATAAGAAACTTGATGCACAATATGGATCTTTTTGCATTAAACTATATATTCCCTTTAGCACTCTTGTTCATCATTTTAGAGCATTGGTCTCGTTGTTAATGGTAACAACCCACCCATATATACCTAGGGGCGCGTTCACAAGTTTTGCCCAACCTGTCAAAAAAGCTAAGGCCGGCGCTGATCTTGTTAATGGGTAGATAATTGTAAAAGAGGAACCAAAAAGTATCAAACACTTGGTTATTGCTTATTTAAAGAAAATGTAAATGTCAAAACAATTGTTTATGTAAAAAATGTATGTTTCAAAGCAAATGTAAAAGCATCGATAAACTTTTATATTGTAAAGTCTAATGTTGCAGCATCTATGAAACGTAAGCAATATGAAGTTTTTACACACTTGTGCCAGTCTATAGGTGAAATACTTTATGTTAAATGCAATTGTAAAGCTGGTGCACGAGGCTGTTGCAAGCATGCTGTTGCAACGTTATACCAACTTGTTGACTATAAAGAGTCAGAAATTAAAATGGTCCCAGAAACCGGAACATGTACTGACATTTTACAGATATGGCATGTTCCAGTGAATTATCCAACTCTGAAGCAATTTTATTTTCAAACTTAAATTTTGAAAAACCTGACGGTTATAAAGACAAAAATAATACTCGAAAACGACCTTTAGTTTCATAAACCCGTAAATATTGCTCATTACCAAATTCTTATGAAACATCACTTTTACAACTTCAAACACTTTGTGAAGGTTTAAAAAATCTCTACCTGGGGACATACATTTCTAAAATAACTTGTGATAACAATTTTGAAACATGTACATTTTTTAATTCGTCTCTGTCAACATTTATAGAAAATGATATTACTGAACTTTTTTTTAAAAAAGATGACAGATTAGTTATTATGACTCTGTTTGATAATTTAGAAAATAAGATTGATTTTATTTGTTTGTCAAGAGCATATGAATTACATTTAAGCGTTGACATCAAGGAAGCTAAAAATATTGTAGTCAATACAGTTAAGCAATTTAAAAGCAAATTATGGTATCAAAAAAAGCAAATGATTAAAAGGATCAAATTTTGGTAGTGTGATGAATAGCTATAAAAAAATTTACCCAATATCTATTTAAAAAAAGGCACTACAAACTAAAAAGATAAAAGTAGGAGAAAGCGTATATAGGGAACAGAAAATGAAGAAAAAATTTATAAAGCAGTAGGAAAACATAACAAAGTCAAGTGTTACACAATGTGGTTCTTTTATAAACCACAAGTTGCCATGGTTGGGTTGTAGCCCTGATGGAGTAGTGAGTTCTGAAAAAGTACTTGAAGTAAAATACCCTTTATCAAAAAAACTTCAAAAAAATTGAAGAAGCTTGTCAGGATAAAAACTTTTATATAAAACTTAGCAACTCAAAAATAAAGTAAAGCATTCTTATTATTATCAGTGTCAAGGCGTTAATGCACTAACAGAATCTAAAACAATTGATTTTATTGTTTATACAGAAAAATTATTGCACATTGAAACAATAGATTATAATGCAGATTTATGAAATTTAGCTATTTTTTCTGAGTTAACAGATATTTATTTCAATTTTATGTGAACAAAAATATTTAAAATAAAATAATTATTTACCAAATATATATAAATTATTTTTTATTCTGTCTCATTGACACTATCAGTTTTAATTAGAGGGGTTAGAAAGTTAACTAAATAACAAGCAATGACCCATATTTTATTCATGTCAGTAGCCATCGAAAGCGGAAATGTGTTTTGTAAGATTTTTTAGTTTTTAACTCTTACAATAGCAAATTTATCATGAATTTGTACAGATGCAAATTCATGATAAACTTTTTCATGATAACCCCCCCCCCCACTTTTTTTTTTTGATGATGGTGCCCCTCTCCCCCTACTTCAAAACCCGTGTCGTCGGCCCTGCTTATGCATTAAGTTTCGCTCTATTCGAGTCTGCATATTGATGGAGATTTTCACTTAATGCTGCATTTCTTATGTATTATGAATGATGTTTATGTATATACTGTTTACTATCAATTAATGAATTTTTTTTTACAGAAATAATTCTCTTTGTTAGAAATTCATTTAACTTTTATTACAATGTATAAAAACTATAATCGGTATACTATATTAATGCATAAAAACTATAATCGGTATACATCCCTAAAAGATATTAACGTAGAGGATCCACTATTAAGAAGCTTGCAAAAGATGCGAAAGTTTATGAAGAGCTTGCTAGGAATGGTCGATACAGCAGACCTGTTTGGTAAGTTTACTTACCAGGAACTAACTACATAGTCACAGTTCATCAACCAAGTGGGTAAAAGCATTATGTAACGGATAAAAAACTATTATAGTTTAATATTATTATATTGTAATAATTTTTTGACCGTTATATAATAACTAATAAATTATAATAATAGCCATTTTATTATAATAGTTTTGGTTAAGTGTTGTACGATGTGGTCCGATTTAATACGTTGTTCGCATTGGTCCGGCCTATAATATTCACCGATTAAAACGTTACTTAAAAAGTTAAAATGTTACTTTCAAGTAAAAGTGTAACTTAATAGAAAATTTTAACAATCAATCAATCATTTATTTCATTTTAAAGTAAATACAAAGTTAGGATCAGTCACAAATAGTTATTTAACTGACAAAAACGTGACGACCTAACAATATTCATTATAAATTTGGCAAAATGTATAACATAGTACATGAATAATATCTGGTAATATTATAATAATAGTAATAATAATATTATAATAATAAAAAAAAAAACAAAAAAAAAAACATAAAAAACTTAAAAATAATTAAAAAACAAAAACAAAAAAAAGGTACTTAGAAAAAAAAAGAAGCTAAAAATAAAAAAATAACAGGCTTTTAAATAGACCGATAACAATACAGTATCAAGAATATTAGCAATAACATGTTATTTAGAAAAGAGGCAAAAACAACTTGAATTTTACAGGTACAAAGGATAAGGTCAATAAAAATTTAAGTTCGAGAATTGTCAATTAAAAAATAAAAACTGTTACTTTTTAGTAAGGCTCAACTAAGGTTAAGTAACTTTATTTATAAAGTATCCAATCTATTTTTTTTTAATTTGACAATAGTATTATGAAACTTAAAACATTTTAAGTAAAAAAAAAACACAACATTTAGTCACAGTCTAAATACTAGAATGCTATTTTAGTTTTTAGACTTATTATATAATACTAAATTTTATAATAAATACTTAGTTTTAGTTAAATAAGTAAATAAATACTCAATTTTAGTTAAAAATTTTCATGTATAAATTTTCTAAATATGATATTAATCATTCAAATAAGTGTATAATACTACACAAATAGCTATAGCATAACAACAATAATATCTGTAGCATACAAATAATTATGAAATGCTTTCTTTTGACAATTCACTGCAGCATTATGACACTCTAGCATACGTTTGGCATATATATCTACACAATTATTGTAGATAAACTAAAAAGTCTGAGCAGCCAAAAATCTAATGTTCAATTATTCAATATTCAAAATGTTGAACAATAAATATTTAGTAATCAATGGAGAGCATTAAATATCTTGTTTGTATAATGATTTTTATGCTAATGTATGCTGTGTTGACACTATGGTATACATTACTAATGTATACCATAGTTTCAATACATAGTGCAAATAATGATTGTTTGTAAGGGTTATTTAAGTTACTTTCTTAATATTTTTCTTTTTAGAATATAAATAAAAAACTATTGATTCATAACTAAATAGATGTAAAGAAATAACAGAAATTGACAAAAATGGTATAGTTTTATAATAATTTATTTATATCAATTTTTATTTTAATATATTGTGCATTAAGCCAAATATAAACATTTCAGGATTTTACATTTACTCTTTATATATTTTTTTATTAACAGTAGTCTATATTTTGGGATATCTTATATTAACATATACATATATACATTTTTTTTTTTAATTTGCATTCACTCCCAACAAGGCTGCAAGCAGCCACTATTAAGTTGGGAGTTACTAGGAAAAAAAAGAACAGAGTTATAGAGCAAGGAAACGGTTGACAGAAGAATTGAAAAGTTGAAGGTTGTATGAGTCACGAAAACATGAAGATGGGAGAGAGTTCCAAAGGATTAAAGTGCGGGGAAAAAAACTAGATGAATAAAAGTTTTTAGAGCATGCAGGGACAGATACAGTAAACAAATGAGACTTAGCTGAATGACGAGTAAAACGAGAATGAATTTTAGTTGATGGAACTAGAGATGATAACTCCTTTGAGCAGTGACCATGATAGTATTTGTAGAAAAGAGAAAGAGATGCAACTTTACGACGATGGGAAAGAGGTTCAAGCTTAGCAGATAGTCCAGGTCCAACAACATTTACAATGCGTTTTTGGACCTTGTCAAGAAGAGAAAGTGAATCGTTAGAAGAACCAGCCCAAATATGACAACAGTATTCCATACAGGGACGAATAAGAGATTTGTAGAGATAGAGAATGGAATCAGAAGTAAGGAAATGGAGAGCACGATAAAGAGAAGCAACCTTAGCAGAAGCTAATTTAGCAATCGATTGTATTTATGGTTTCCATGAAAGGTCAGTAGTAAGCGATAATCCAAGAAGACGTAAAGAGGAGGACTCAGTAAGAGGATTGCCATTCATTAATATAGGAATGTTGACCATATAACGGTAGTTGTTTGCAGTAAACAACTGGGTTTTGTTAGAGTTGAAATTTACAAGCCACTGTGAACCCCAATCTATTATTTTTAGATTGAATTCAAGATCAGCTGCTTGTTCTAGGCGATCGAAAAGAGAAGACTTTTTGTCAAGACAGGAGTATAAAGTTGAGTCATCAGCAAAAAGAGCTACTTTAGATGAAAGGTTTCAGGAAGATCGTTTATGTAGATAAGAAACAAAACAGAGCCCAGGATGGAACCTTGGGGAACCCCAGAAGTTACTGGAAATAAAGAAGAGTGTTGGCCTTCAAGGATGACTTTAATAAACCGGTTAAAAAGAAATGATTTGATAATCTCAAAAACTTTCCCAGAAACACCATATGAAGCAAGCTTATGGAGAAGACCAGCATGCCAAACTTTTTCAAAAACTTTAGATATGTCGAGAGCAATAGCCCTAGCCTCACCGCCTCCATCTAATGCACAATAAAATCTTTCAGTTACAGCAGTTAGCAAGTCGGCCATAGAGCGAGAGGATCGAAAACCGTATTGATTGTTTGACAGTAGTTTATTTGACTCAAGATGAGATGTGAGGAATTTGTTGATCAAAGACTCAAAGACCTTGCTAATAACAGAAAGAAGACTGATCGGATGATAATTGGAGGGGTCAGAATTTTCTCCAGAGTTTTTGAATATTGGAACCACAGATGCCATTTTCCTACAAGCAGGAAAACAAGACTCAGTCAAACACTTGTTAAATAGTTTAGAGAGAATTGAAGAAAGTTCTGGAGAACAATTCTGCAAGACTGTGACAGGAATGTTGTCTGGACCACAAGCTGTAGACGAGTTTAATTGAGGTATGACTTTAGCAACAGAAGCCAGAGTGATTTGAATGTCTAACAATGGGTCAACCTGTTTGACTGGAATGGAAGGAAAAAAATGTCCATAAGATTTAAGAGTGGAATTAGAAGAAAAGTTCTTTGCAAATAGTTCTGCCTTATCCTTGGGAGAGGTAATAAGATCAGTCCCATGAATAAGAGATAAAATGTTAGATCTACCCTTGTTAATAATGCTGTTGAAGATTTTCCAAAAGTCTTTAGAGCCTAACTTCTGCGATAAGATGCGAGATTTAGTGAACTGAGAATAATGGAGTTTAGCATCAGAAAGCACCTTTTTACATCGATTTCTTGCAATAATAAATAGCCGTTTGTTCTCAAGAGAGTTGTTCTTTTGAAAAAGATAAAAAAAATGATTACGATTGGATATAGCAGCCAAACAAGAAGGAGAAAACCATGGAGTAGAATGAGGCTTGACTTGAAACCGACGAGAAGGAATAAAAGCTTCCATTCCAACCTGAATCCAGGAGGTTACGTAGGAGGCGCATTTGTCAGCTGAGAGAGAAAAGGCATCAGCCCAAGGACCATCACGAAGAAAATCACGAAAGGAATCCCAGTCAGCTTTAGGGTAGTAGTAGGTGGTGCGATGATAAGGTGAGCCCAAAAAAGAAGTACGAGAAGAAAGATTTATAGAGATCATTGCATGGTCAGAACCACCTAAGGTTGAAAAAGGAGAAACTGAACATAAGCTAGGGTCAGAGACAAGAAATAAGTCAAGGAGTGAAGGTAAATGATTAGGGTTGTCAGGAAAGCGAGTCACAAAGTTAACTATATGAGTAAGAGATTGAGAAACGCAGAAGTTAAAGGCTTTAGTGCCAGCAGGATCAGTGGTGTTAGAGCCAAGCCATTCAGTGTGATGGGCATTAAAATCACCAACAACAGCAATATTGGCAGAGGGGTAAAGAGAGAGGGCATGGTCAATTTGATCAGAGATAACATCTAAAAGAGTGCAATCATGGGAAGAAGGAAAACGATAAAGAACAAAGAGAAAGGTGATAGAGTGAAGAGGTGCTAGGCGAAAGCACATAAAAGAATGGTCAAAAGATTCGAACCTGATTTTACGACAAATAGGGGAATTAATGTGTATGTATACCCCTAAACCTAGCATGTGACTATTGCAGTCTTTACGAATCAAAGAATAGTACCCATCAACACCGACATCTGAAGAAGGAATTGCAGAATTTAAATTTGTTTCACTGAGTGCAAGCAAGTCTGGTGAATTTTGCAGGAGGTAAGACTCAACTGATGGAAGGTTGCTTTGTAGACCGCGAATATTTGTAAAAGATATATTAAAATATTTAGGTGGTGGGGATGGTTTTTTAGGTTTTAAATTTTTGGTTACTTTGGTCATGATTTGGGTTTAATGAGAACTTGACTCATTCATAGATAGAGCACAGCCTCCTAATCAATGAGCTATGCAGTTGTCTCAGTCCTGTTAATTAATCCTAAGCCGTGACATAGGGCTCCTTATGTGGCCTTGACAATGCACACCAAAAGCATTAACAGGGACACCATCCATCTGCAACATGGCACTGTTAATACTTTGATGTTTTGCAGCTGTTGATGGAATCAGCCTCTCTGAGAGCTACCACAGAGTTCAGGAAACCTTACTACCAGCCGGCCTCAGAACCATTAAACTGAGTTTTAGAGCTGTACCCTCATATGGAGATAACAGGAAGAGTTGCATAGCCATTATCAAGGAGGCATAAGCAAAATTCTATGAGTAGAGTCAAGGAGATTCAGCATTCATCATCCTAGGCAGGAAACAATGTAACACAGGTTACATCTACGCCAGCCTAATAGATGAAGAAGGGGTTCGAGGCTGGTTAGCAGAATTTTTCTGCTTACCCCTAAAGTATTTGCCTAGGAGGCCTTCTACAAGACAGTAGTTGGATGCAGTTAACATCTGCCCAAGATGAGTATTTTTATCGAAACACCATCTCTAGCCTTTACTCAACCAAGAGCCCCAAGGCAGGGGATGTTTAGCTGGATGCAGTTAACATCTGCCCAAGATGAGTGTTTTTATCGAGACACCATCTCTAGCCTTTACTCAACTAAGAGCCCCAAGGCAGGGGAATTTTTAGTCGGAGTTTATTTCTCCTAGCCTTTGCCTAAGAAGAGTACACTCTGCAAGGCAGCAGGGCTTGTGGCAGGTGGTACTGGGTTACGTGATACCAGTAGCAAGATTGATCTTTATTATCCTGACCTGACCTGGAGTAGTTAAAAGGAGTTACTTCCCGCAACAGTACTTTGAGAAAACCAGGCATGGCATTTTTGAAGTGCATTAAGAAAAACACTGCATCTAACAAAATACAGGAGTCTAAGGTGAATATATATATACACAAATGATTAATATACACTTGTGTTATTCACACTTGTGTTATTTAAATAACTTCTGTTCGCTTTATACATAATTTAAATATTTACAAAGAATTTAATTTCTAGTAAAATAAAATAAAAAGGTGGAATAAAAGCCTTACAGGTTTAAACGATAAATAATAGATTGATGATTAGTGAATAATAAATTTCAAATCATGCAAATGAATCAAAATATTAAAAAAGAGTCAAGCTAAGTTTGAAGTAAAGTTTTTTAAAGAAATTTAATGTAAGTTTTATCGCTGGTTTTCACTGTATTTCCAATATCTGAATAAATGTAATTTATGAAGTAGTGATGTACCGAAGTATTGGCATTAGAATTGGCTTAATCTGCCACTTTTTGGTGTTTATTATGTACGGTATTGTTTATCAAGTCTGCGTTTTAATGTTTTCATCCTGCATTAAATGATGGCTTTAAATGTTTTTATCCTGCATTATAATACTAATAATTATATAATAAATAAACTAAACCCTATACATTACTTAGAATTTCTTTGAGAAATTGTTGATATTGATTTTGTTTACAGGCAAATTTTTTATTCTTAAGATAATGTTTATAAGCTCTAATTAAGTAGCTGAGTGTACTTATACTTTTATTACATAATGTTGTTTTTAGAATAATTTTATTTTGTGTTGTTTTATTGTTATAATTACTATATTTATTATGTTGTTATATTGTTATATTTATGTATTGCCTATTATATATCTATATGATTGTTGTTTAGATATTTAAATTACTTATACATAATTAAAGTTACAAAATTCTAAGTAAACTGCTTGTCTTACTACCATTTTCTTTTTAAAGATAAAATAAAAAGCGTTTCTCTAAAGTTGTATTTATTTTTTGAA